GTTCTCCCTGGCCAGCTGCAGAGCCCCAGTGCACGAGCTCCTGGTTTGCCCAGGAGCTGCACTTCTGTGTGAGTAAACAGCACAGCTCTTCCCAGTGTCTCTGTGTTTGCAGACTCATCCCTACCACGGCAGGTGCATGCTCTCCCTATGGTGTCAAATACAACCTGCAACTGCGTTTACCAAAAGCTACACTTCTGCACTTTTTATTAGCCCCTCAGAAACCAAAAAGGCAGCCCCAGGAGCTGTGTTCTTCTATTTGTTTGCACTCATCCATCCCTCTGTCTCCTGGGGCAGCCTCCCCTGCCCCAGGCCGCCCATCTGCCTTGGATAAAGTCACATCTGAGCTCAGGGGAGGTGCGGTGCTGGCTGAGCCTCTGGGATGGCTCTGCCCTTTGGTTCACCTCCCTGCATTCTGCTTTCAGTGGCTGCAGACCACGTTCCTGGGACAGGATCAAGGGCACGTGCCGCAGGAGTGCACGAGCGCGGCTTCTTTGCTGGCATGCTGGGGACAGGGAGCCAAAGGACTCCTTATCTATGGATGGAAAGTTTCTGAGCTGCTTATCAGGCACAGCCCGATAGTTAGATTAAAGTCTCGGGAGCAGCAGTTTGCACCGTGTCAGACACTGTTTCTCAGTTCTCCTTATGCTCTGCTGGGTAAACACCTCTGAGCAAGGTGGCGTGGTGGTGGCACAGTCCTGTGGGGACGTGGGTGTCCAAGGAGGGGACTGGTGGCACAGCCTGGCACAGAGCTTGCCTGGCTGGCACCCATCCTGCTCCCTCACTGCACCCACATCCCTCTGAGGAGCCTGATGCCCGTGACATGCTTAGGGTGACCCTGAGGGAATTTTTGGTTCTAACTTTACATGGGTATTTGTATTTCTCAAAACATTTGCTAACCTAATTTTGGCTATTCTTGCTCCTTTCCAGAGATGGGAATGGAACTTGCTGTTGACTGAATTTGCTCTGATGCAAACTGACAGCCAAAATGCTGAGGGTGCGTGGCTCGGTGGGAAAGCAAACTGCTGAGCAGCTCTGCAGGGAGCTGGGGACTCGCATCTTGGCTCCTGCAGGGACTCACAGTCTGGCCGTAGGTGCCCCAACTCTGTGCCCCAGGGCTACCACCCTGTTGTCCTCCCTGTGATGGGGGGCCACCTCTCGTGAGGCCCCTTCAGCTCTGTTGCGTGTCCAGGCTTTGCTGGCTGCCAGCCACTGGGGAGTGGGACATGGCTGCTTTTTGGAGGGGGCACCAC